ACCTCTGAGCACATCCAGCATCCATCAGCACAGACACTGAAGTTTGTCAGGCTCTGTTCTTCTCTTTTTGGATGTAAAACGCTCTGAGCGAGAGGTGTGAACTGCAGTAAAGCAGTCCAGCAGCTGAACCAACACAACAGAATGAAATTAAACCCAAAAAAGGACTGCGATGGACCTTCAATCACTATAGGATCTTCTCTTAAAGCTTTAAAAGGGTTTTTCACGTTTGGACTTTCATTCACAAGCATGGTTCCTTTAGGGTAACACCTTATTTGGATGGTCCACCGTAGATGCTTTGTGGACGCTCAGTGTATCTTTAACTGACATTCTACTAAATATATGTTAAATGCAACAGAACTTGAAGTTGCATGTCAAAGATTCTATTAAATCTGTCCTAACCCTAAACCTAACCTTAACCCTAACATCAAGGTGAAACCTACACCTACTCCTAAACCTAATCCTAACTGTAATGTTGTTAATAATCAACTATCACCACAAAGTTTGGTAATAATGTACATCTATAGGGGACCATTCAAATAAACTGAGACTTCTTTTAGAAACAAACCAGTGAAAAGTTATTAGAGACCCAAACTGATTTGTCTGTGGCATCATTCCACATAACCCTTTTTGGCACCTTTATTTTTAAAAGTGAAGGGCTAAGCTTCAGTGGAACTGAGTAAAAAGGTTCTTTCAAACATGCTGTTCTTAAAGAGAAGTTAAAGTATGATTTGCAAACACTTAGGAAACTACAAATCCAATCACTTCAGTAAAAGTCATTTCAGTCATTTCCATCAAAACTGTACTTTGGGCAGAATGAAACTTGTTATCAGACACCTCAGCACTGTCTGAAACGACTGTTGATATTTTATTTATATCTTATTAAGTCTCATGCCTGTCCAGCATCCTTGCATCAAAGGATTTGAACACAAGGTTAATCAATGTGGATATACAGTAAAAGTTTGAACACTGCTGGTCAAAGTGAGAATAATTGAACACATCCTCTATAGAGAACACACACTGCACATTTTAATACACAATTACTATTTACTGTCTCAATTTAACACATTGATAGGATAAATAAAACATAAAATGTAGCCTGCGCCACAAAAGGTTACAGCAGACTTAGTTTTTTAGGTTTTATTTTATTTTTTCTGGTATGTCAAATTTGTGCACTATAACATACAGAAAAATGCCATATTTAAGTGTGTTGTCTGTAGAGGATGTGCTAACTTATTCACACTCTGAAAATCAACAAAAAGTGTAATTTCACCAGCAGTACTGAAAGCCTTGCAATTGACTGTATACAGACAAATTAATAACAAAAAAACCTGCTTAAAGCTACATTCCTAAAAATAAGGCAACAGAGTTTCTTTGCAGCAATGCAATAGAAAAACCACTCTTGGTTCCTTAAAAAGCTTTTAAAGAACCATATTTGCAAATGAGATGTGTGAGTATTAAGAACCTTTTTAAAGGCTAAAGATCCTCCACATGATGTAAAGGTTCTACTCTATTCTAAAAGGTGTAGCACAGTAATCACAAAGGAGTTGACCCAACCACATTCAACCTTATTACCATAACAGCCCCCACGTACCCAATTACAGACCACTCCTCATGGCTCATTCATATTCCAGAACATGATAAGACATTCATGCTTTCATGCACAGTTTGAGATGAACGTTGATATTTTACTCGGAGAAACTGCCTGAAACTGTCCAGCATTCTGACACCAGATGGTGTGAAGACAGGACGTTAATCAATGTGGATAAATATGGATGAATTAATAATAATGGAAAAGCTACATTAAAAAAAGTGCCAGAAAAGATTCCTTGGTGCGATTTCATAAAGAACCACACTTGGCTCCATAAAGAGTCTTTAAAGGGGAGTTACACTGATTTTTTAAAATTTCTGCATAATTCAGTTATTGAGATGTGAGCAGTCATTTAGAGTGGTCTGATGTGAAATGCTCCATTCTGGAGTCAGATTTGTTTACAGTGGTGGTGGCTGGAACTAGACGTCTGAAGCCTCTACATCACAGAAGTGAAACGGTGATGAAAATGTTGCCTGATGCCTGAGACATTGATTTATTAAAACCCCTTCATGGCGGAGACGTACATGCACTGCTTTAAAAGGCAAAATAGAACCCAAAGAAAATGTATTATTTGGGATTTATGACTATTTTACCATCATCAGCATTATATATAAACACTCAGAAGACATGTGTAGGTTCAGTGGTGGTTTTGGATAGTAGATAAAGTGGCTATATTTGTGTTGTACACATCACAACCCCTGGTTCCCATCACCACCACTGTAAAGAAGAGTCAATAGGTTTAACCACAATGAACCGTTTCACATCAAACCACTCTGAATGACTCTCTAGGACATCTCACTCACTGAATTAAGCAGAAATTTCCTTTAAAGAATTTTTGTAAATAAAGCATTTTTAATGTAAAGGTTCTATTCTAGAATGTTTACATTCATACATACAAGCCAAGAACCATTTTCGAAGCTTTATTGTAAAACAAGTCAAGCTTGTAACAGTAGCAGAACCCTTTTGGTGCTATATAGAACCATTTTTGAAAAGGTTCTATATAGAAGCATATACAACACATGCTCCATCAATCTGAAGAACCATTTCACCATGCAAAGAACCATTTAAGCATGAAATGGTTCTGTACACACTTAAAAATGATGGTTGTTCAAGGGTTCTTAAGTAAGGAAAATGGTTCTATATAGAAGCATGAACACTCAAAGAACCCATGCATGATTAAATGGTTCTTTGCATCATGAAATGGTTCTTGAGATTGATGGAGAATGTGCTGTAGATGGTTCTATATAGAACCTTTTTGAAAAAAAAAGGATTCTTCTTGGTACAATGTGAAGCTTGTAATAATAGAAGAATACTTTTTGGTGCTCTATAGAACCTTTTTCAGAAAGGTTCTATATAGAACCATCTACAGCCGATTCTCCATCAATCTGTTTCACGATGTGAAGAACCATTTAATCTGCAAAGGGTTCTTTGAATGTTCATGGTGCTATATAAGACATTTTTCTTTACTAAAGAACCCCTAAAGAACCATATTTTTTAGGTGTGTATAACATATTGATCCTAAAGGACTCTAACTAACCACATTCAACCTCATTACCATAACAACCCCATGTACCCAATTACAGACGTCTCCTCATATTGCAGAGCCTGATGAGATTACATAAATCAGATGATGTGAACAGACCATGGAACTGAGTGTGGCTGAGTTTGGATAAATGAACAAGTAATAAAAAACCAAAACAATTCAGAAACTACCACACTGATCCGTCAGGAGGTTGTGAGTTTAACCAGCCATTTTAGCCCCCCACTGCTGATTTACATACCACAACATCCTACGATCGCGCTCCCTCTTTCCAACTCAGATACTGAATACAGATATTTCTGTGGAACTGCCACATTCTGACATGCGTCCAGGCTCTCTTACATCGGATGATGTGAAAGCATCTCAGAAATGAGTATGGAAATTAGGCTTGCTATTGCTGCGCAATTGCAGTGTTAAAGCATATGTGAGGAGCCCACATAATCGCCCACAGTCGGAACAGCTTCAAGGCAGGACAGTCGATGGCTTCCGCAACAAAGATTTGCTGACAGATTGATTCTTGCTAAGGCAAAAGCATTTTCTATTCTTTTCAGTTTCCTCCAAACTACCGGAAGATAGAATCTCCCCTGGGCTTGTGATGTCACCCCATATCCCTATCATAAAGGGTAAAAATCAGAAGAATCATTTTCCACAACTGCTGAAATAAAAGATTCTGGTATTCTCCCAGTGCACCGTACGCAAAAGTTTGAATGCCCCTGCTCAAATTTCATGGTGTGTTAATTTTCTAAGCGAATGTAAGTTCGAGTGCATAGTCTCTGCATGGAACTCACTCAAATACGGAACTTTTCCTGTAAATTTTAGTGCATGGTTTCTGTTTATTTGCTGGGTTTAACATATTGGAAAAAATAAAGTATAAAATGTGCCGTTTACACACGCATTGGACTCTCTGTAGAGAATGCGCTAGCGTACTTTCACTTAGAAAATCATTAAAACGTCATTTGACCGGGGTGCCTAAACTTTTGCACACGACTGTATATACTCTCCTCTTCAATGGGAATGACTGGAATGGCACGCATATTTCAGTGGCTTTATTTTCAAATAGTGGAGAAAAGCAATCCTACACTGAGAAAGGAGAGATCATGAAACTCCGCAAAGCTTTGGAGAGTGCAGTCCAAATGCAACATCCCAACATGGTAAACCAAAGGCATTCTGATTAAAGGGGCGTTCCGGCCTAAAGCTAACATTTATTATATCATTATTATTATTATTATAGCATTGTATCCCTCAGCCTCATCACCTTGACAGAATTCATGATTTTCTGTTTCCAAAGTTCTCTCACTACAATACCCAGCATGCATTATGCCAATACCTCATACAACCATTGGGAATCCTTCGCCCATGTGATAAAGAAACTCTCACTGCTAGCATAGCCACTGATGTAGATGCTAATAAATACAGATGAGAAATTCCTAGCAGTAATATTAGTCATCTGGCTTCTGCATTAGCCAGCTAGCAAAACAAAACAAAAAAAATCAGCTGTAGATTTTCAAAACTTCCCCCCACCTTCAAGAGACATCATCAGAAAAGTTTTCATGTCATTAAACCTGAAAATCTCACTCTAGAAGCTTCTTTGGCAGCACTGTAGGAGGCGGGTGGGCTACAGATAAAGCAGTGTGTCATGTGTCATGTGTCATATTGGCCGGAGTGCCCCTTTAAGTAACAATCAATTAAGACTCTTTTGTAAAATTATGTATAGCCTTTTAAGTACTTGATGAATTGTAGATTTTTTTTACATAACATGCCCCATCCCTGACTGCCCACCCCCCCAGCCCAGCATCAACTTACAGAGAAAACAAAGAATCCATGATAAACTGGCATTAATAAATATGCATGGGCAAAACAGAAACAGGCAAATAAATAAATAATACAAAACCAAAATTGTTCACAGCTCTCAGCGTAACATTTCATCGCTACCCTTTAATCTCAAAAGGCCTCACAATTGAACTGCAATCCCACACCTAACGGAACAGTTTGCTTTGGGATGAAAAAAGAAAAAAAAAACACCAAACAACGGCTCTGGCCGGGAACCCACTTTTCGTATCATTTGTATAAGAAGACACGGTTTAGCAGCCAAACATGTAACAGCATTGGCACAAGAAGGAGCTGGATTGAAGGCATTGGCACGAGCTGGCAAAGAAGGCATGCCGACCATTTTTAATCAAACGCATATTGTCCATTTTCAGCCAATAGAATGTGTGGGGGGGGGGGTGATGGATCTTCATACTGCACAGGCCAAAAGATTCACAAAAAAACAAACAAAAAAAAAATCCAAATAAACCTCCCTGTACATCGCATACGCACACTCTGTCGTCCACAGCACACATCCGCATTCACGCATGAGTCAGTCGCACGCAACACTCGCTCGGAATAGGTGCAGTTTCCTTCTCTCGCACACACAGACACAGCAGTCGTCAAATAAGTGACAGCGACCAGAGAACGAAATAGGAAGTGTCATTGCCATCAGCCCTTAGTCCCAAAGTATCACCCTGCTGAACGGTTAAACAGAGGGTGCGATAGTTCAGTTTATGGCAGAAATCCCCAGTTCTTGTAGAGAAAAGTGAAAAGTAAACAAACAGAAAAAAAAAACAATTCCAGATATCAGGAAGGGTCCTTATTGCCCTGATTCAGTCACCACAGTAAGTAACACCATTGGTATGGTTTTAGCAATGGTCTTAGGATCTCATGATCAGTCTTAGGAGTCAATTTAAGCACAAACACGTCTTCCTCAGCCATGTAAACTGTGTCCATGACAAGCATGTTTATTTTCTTCTTTATCTACCTTAAAGCAGTTCACTGTATTAGTAAGCAGGCTGAGCCTCTGTCAGATAACCTGCTGGAGAAAGACAATGAAGCTCTCCTCGGTCCATGGTAGGTGCTTTGTATTCAGCGAGCATGCTTGCATTAGGAAGGTGGAGAAGATGGGCATGGCAAGGGAATCACACACCCCCCCCCCACCCCGCCCCCCCATCCCCAGTGCCATCTGCAACCAACAGCTGTTAGGCTCCTTCAGTGAATCCTACATCAATTCATTCTATACACATGGCCCCCGGCAAAGTGCTCCACAAGAGCACTTTTTCTTCCCCTCGTTGTCTTTTCTCTACACGGAATTAAAGCTTGACAGGTATCAGGGAGGAGAATCAGTGTAAAAGTGTGTCTCTGTGATGTTTTTGTGTATGTGTGTGCGAGAATTCTGGAGGGGTAAAATAAGACTCTGGTTGGATTGAAATCCCTACAGAAATCCATACTTGTGCTATCCCTGAGGGCAGGTATTCTTAGAAAGGCGAAAAAAGGGAAAACACTATTACCTTGTGTTCCCTTTACTTTGTTATCCTCACAGGTGCACAATAACCTCTATAAAACAGGACGGGGTATCTGTCAATCGCAGTCCCGTCGAGATGTTCGCTCTCTCTTTCTGCTGTGCGTCTGTCGGATGAGTCCTGGTACGTAGTAAACCTGCAAACGTCCAGGAGGTCTTCTCCCAGATACAATGGCATGTGGCTATCATTTGACACATATTAAAATGTGCTTTATCATTGCATGCGGTCCTTGATTTGCAGGGGCTGCACAAAAAGCCCCTTATGTACATGGTTACAATGAAGTTATTGTGCTTTTTAAAAATTGTACAGTACACAGTTTTCCAGATTCTCGTACCGCAAAAAGATCGCAGGGCTAGTGGTCAGTCAAAAGAATGTACCCTTGGTGTTCTTGCAGAGTATCTTCTTGAAGGCTCTGCGGAAGTCTTTGTTGAAGATGGTGTAGATGACAGGGTTTAGGCAGCTGTTGCAGTATCCAATCCAGAAGAAGAATTTGAAGAGGGGCTCGGGGAGGGTGCAGACCTCTGGGCACACAGCCTGCAGGCTGTAGGAGAAGAAGAAGGGAAACCAACAGACGACGAAAACGCCAATGACCACCGCCAGCACAAAGGTGAAGCGCTTCTCCCGGTTCACCATGGCCTTGCGGCGGGCTGAGTTGGGTGTCCCTTCCTGCTTGGACTTCCGAGAAGCCAGCCTGGTGCCTTTCGCTGTGGCGACCATGTCTCTGTACTTCTGGATGGTGGCAGGCGAGTGGATACCAGCATTAGGTTCAATGCTGGGCGTCATGGGCATCTCCGTCCCCATCCCTCCCTGCTCCGTGTCGGAATCAGACGTTGAGCTTTCCCCGTTGTTGTTGTCGTGCTTCTTGCCAATCTTCTTCTCCTTCTTCCACCCACTGGGTTTTTTGGGTGCTGGGTCTTGCTTCTGGTTAGAGGAGATGGAAGGTGAGAGGGATGGGGAAGGCCCCAGGGGAGAAGAAGGGGTGGCTGGCGTCAAGGCTACAGAAGGTGAAGGAGGGGGCAGAAGGTTGTTGGTGATTGGGGTAGTTGCTGGCTGCTGCTTGGCCATGTTAAGGGACTCTACTTGAGGCACAGCAAGAGTGGGAGGTCGGGGCATAGTTGGGTTTTTCTGAGGGGTGCAAGGAGTACTTGCGCCATCTCCTCTGCCATTCTGAAGAGCCTTGGGTTTGTGTTGAGGGGTGGTTGCACTGGCAGGGATTTCCTTCCTTGGCTCCCCTGGAGGGCATCTTGTGCGCTGCTTGGCAATTTGGTAAATCCGCATGTAGACCAGGATCATGATCAGGCAGGGAGCGAAGAAGGAGCCAATGGTGGAATAAAGGATATACCAGCGTTCGTTGTTCAGCTCGCACTGTGGACACCCTGCAGAGTCCTTCCCTTTGTTCTTGTTCATGGACAGGAGAGGTGGGAAGGAAATGACCGCCGAAATCAGCCAAACAACTAAGATAGCGCACTTGATGCGGCGCGGCGTCCTCTGGGCACCATATGTCACGGCCCGGGAGATGGACATGTAGCGGTCCAAGCTGATGGCGCACAGGTGCACGATAGAGGATGTGCAGAACAAGACGTCCAGTGCCAGGTAGATCTCACACCACACTGAGCGGAAGTACCAGTAACCCATCAGCTCATTGGCCAGCGAGAACGGGATGATTAAGGTGGCCACCAGGATGTCGGCCGCTGCCAGAGAGACCAGGAAGAGATTCTGCGGACCCCTCAGAGAGCGACTGGTCAGCACGGCAATGATGACCAGGATGTTGCCCACGATGGTGAAGAGGATCATTAGTGTGATGGCTGTGGCGAAGGCTGCGGTTGCTTCAGGTGAATACGGGGGGAGTTTTATGCTCCGATTGACCAAAGGAAAGGCTCCGGCGCCACTACCATTACTGCCGGACAGATCCTCTTCAATAGAGCATGCACTCTCCATGACTGCTGTTCTGTTCCGCCACCAAGTGAAGACTAAATCTCAGCTTGGGGATTTTGATAGTCCGTCTTAGCCCTTTTTGGGTAAGTCTTTCTGGGAATTAAACTAGAACAAAAGTCAACGGACAATATCAGACCCCGTCACACACTGTCCAAAGCCTCGGTCACATTCATACATCCTGCAAACTCTGAGTGCCTTCCTCCCTCTCGTCTCCTCCCTTTAAGTCCATTTCTCTTCCTCCACAAGCCTAAAAATACTCCTAAGATAGGGATCAGCGCTGTTTGGTTTACACAGCTAAACACACTGATACATCCGTCTTGCTTGGAGCTGTTTTGACAGGGAAATTAGATTCAGAATTCAAATCTCTGTATGTAATACTATTTATATATTAGCAGCTGGGTAAGTGGAGACTGAGGAGTGTTACTGTGGGCTTGCTTAAAAATAGGTCAAGTTACAACCTATTCATATTAGAGTATAATCACGGATTAAAATAGGACTGGATTCAAAATAAAGCAATAATGCACGTGCGTATTACAATATTCACATCTGAGATCACACTATCAGCTGAACTGATGCAAAAAAACTCTCACCGGTCATTTTAACTTTGGCAGTCTTCATTTTCTGACCTCAGATGGGAGCAAGCAAACTAATAATTGAGGGCTGCTGGCGAAGCCTCAGTTATCCAGATGTGCGCAAAACCTTCAGAGCAGAACGATTTAGGCGCAAAGTAGCCAAAGTAGCACGCGGGCAAAGCTGCAGGTAAAAGCGTCCGCTGTGCGCGCGCGCGCGTGCGTGCTGCTCTCGCTGAAATATTCCCGTGCGAGAGAGGTGCATCAGAAAGCGCGCGTGCCCTTTAGTTTGTGCAGCGAGAGTCCGAGCCGAGCAGCATTTTCCTCTTCTCTCTTTGTTTTTGTCCGTCTTTTTTTCCTCTTCTTCTTATCTTTTTCCGCTCCTCTCGTTTATACTCCGTTGCCTCGTTTGTCTTTTATCTGAGCTGCAGTTCTTCCTGAGTGTGAGAGCCGCTCAGCTTTAATATTATGGCCCCCCACACCAGCCCCCTCCAGCCCCCGCGGGGTGCCTCTAAGCGCCGCCCATTGCTCTCTGATTGGCTGTTAGTTCTTGCCCAAAGCCCCGCCCACTGACTGTCTTACTGATGTTGCTGATGTTTATAGAGACCCCTGCTTACGGAACAATCACACTCTGTCCGAATACTCTCAGTCCCTCTCTCTCTCTCTCTCTCTCTCTCTCTCTCTCTCTCTCTCTCTCTCTTCCTTCCTTTCTTTCTGTTCCTACTACTTTCTGCTTCTCTATTTATCTTTTTCTTTTGCTTCCTCTCTCTTTCTCTTTGTCTTTCTCTCTTGATCACTTTTTCCTCTCTTTATGCTTTTTTCTTTCTTTCTACCTGTTTTTTCCTTTTCTTCTTTTTCTGTTTCTCCCTTTCAGTCTCTTTTTGTCTCTCATTGCCCCTTTTTCTCTCTTACTCTTTCTACTACCTTCTGCTTATCTCGATTCTATTTATCTTTCTCTTTTGCTCTCGTTCTTGATCACTTTTTCATCTCTTTATCATTTTTGCTATCTCCTTATGCCTGTCTTCATTCTGCTCCTTTTCTTCCTTCTTTTTGTTTCTCTCTTTCTATCTCTCACTATCTCTTTTTCTCTCTTTCTCTTTCTACTACTTTCTGCTTTTCTCTATTTATCTTCCTCTTTTGCTCACTCTTTATCTCTCTTGATCACTTTTTCGTCTCTTTATCCTTTTTCCTCTCTTTCTCCTTATACCTATCTGTCTTCATTCTTCTCCTTTTCTTCATACTTCTCTCTCTCTCTTTCGACTACTTTCTGCTTCTTTCTATTTGTCTTTCTCTTTTGCTCTCTCTTTATCCATGTTATCTTTCTCTCTTTATTTATCTCCTTTTCTTCCTACTTGCTTTTTTCTGTTTCTCTCTCCTCCTCTCTAACTCTCTCCCTCTCTCCCTTGCTCTCTCTGTCTCTCTTAGTTATCTTTCTCTGATCACTTTTTGCCTCTCACTATCCCTTTTTCTTTCTCTCTCACTTCTGACCTCTGCTATCTCTCTCTCTCTCTCTCTCTCTCTCTCTCTCTGTCTGTTATCATTATTATATCTTAATTAATTTCTCTTTCCATCTCTCTGTCTTAATTTAGCTCATTTCTCCCCTCCTTTTTTGTTTCTTTCTCCTCCCCTCTCTCTTTCCCTCTCTCATTTGCTTTCTCTCTTTATTCTCTCTCTCCATCCTACAGAGGCGAGATTACTGTCTGCTGAGTCTTGCAGCTCACAGTGATGAAGTTCGTCATGCACTCTTTTTGATCAAAGATCATTTGTGTGTTTTTATCAGATGAAAATGAACGTGTGCAGCTGGACGGATTCTGAGTTTGGAGTTAAATATTTGAAACAGTTTTCACTTTAAGACATTTAGGATGGTGGTTGTGTGTGTATATATATATTATATTATATATATATATATATATATATACATACATGTGTGTGTGTGTGTGTATGTATGTATATATACAAAACCTTGTATCTCCATTTTTTGTCATTTTTCAGTTTTTGGCATAATTTGAAAATGCCTGTTGCCCTTTACGTTGTGTGTTCCCTGAGGGGACATGCTGACAATCATCCCCGGACCCACTGCTCCCTTCATTATAACAAAGCACCACGTAGAAGATTATATTCTTATATTCTTGTGTTACGTTAAATTCTAATATTCTTGAATTATGAAATTAAGCATCTAAAACATCTTTTGGTGAATATTTTTACAGTTATTATTAAGTTGTTAAAATGGGTCCCAAATTTGAGACAACTTGTGAAAATGCTTCCATTTTGCATTCTTTTCTTATTTAATACATATTTTCTTTTAAAAAATGTATTCAGCGTAAAACAGAATGAAATAATAATAAAGTTCTTTCATATAAAGTTCTCTACTGTCAGAATTTCTCAGTATTTGGTTTGTCCCTCTTTTGTTTTGATTGAGGTTGAACAGCGGCTAAAAGTGTATTAAGTTTATTAACCCACTGAGAGTTTCTGTCCATGAGCTTCAGTGGAGAGAAAAACACTAAAACCATCACAAATTTGCTGACATTTGAATAATAATGTATAAATAAATAGCACAGAATCCTTAATTTTATTTTAGAGCCAGGTTTAAATTAAAACAGCCCCTGATTTTCAGGGTGGTCTCAGACTTTTGTACCCTATAATATCTGTATAAGGTTTGGTGATGATTGCTCAGTTTTGAACCTGTTTATTGTTGAATCCTGTCTGTTGTTTTGATTTTCAGTTATCTGAAGTAAAGAAGCAGCTGAGAGTTGAAGCACAGCCTGTAGAGCAGCTCCCGGAGGTCTACTGTCCTGCAGGTGTCTCCTCCAAACCCAGCACACCTGCTGTGTAAGGCGGAGGATGGCGGATGCATGTAAGCTCTGCAGGACTGTAGATGTCCGGCAGTGGGGCTGGTGACCGCTGCTGTAGAGGATTAAGGTGCTATGATCTAGGCTGATTGGGTTTCGGCCCATTGATCTGATTCTGACCGAGCGCAGGACACCAGCTGTTCAGCATTAAAGCATCGCTCAATGCTCAACCACCAGCATAACATCATCAGCCCAGCCTGACTCATAATAATAATAATAATAATAATAATAATAATAATAATAATAATAATAAACAGATTTGGCTACTAAACCAACAGCAAAATGAAGTACAAGACAGAATAAAATAATACAGAGAAGGTAAAAAGTCAATGTTCCACATTATTTACAAACAAGGTCATGAAGCTGTTAATGCAGCTGTGATTTACAGCAGCGCAGGTTTAAACTGTACTGAGAGAAACTTCATCTGTCTGCACACTTTCAGACTCAGACAGGGACCTTAAACTCATCTGAGTATCTTTAATATCTTCACAGTGAGCTTCAGCGCTCGAGCCAGTTTACACTCATTAACGATCCGTTTAGAGAAAAGACTTTATTATCATCTGAACTCCATCAAACACAAACACACCAACATCCTCTAAAAACAAATCAGCACGAACTTCATCTGCCTCAGATAACAGAGAGAGAGAGAGAGAGAGATAAATAGATAGAATGAGAGAGAGAGACAGAGAGAGAGCGAGGGAGAGACAGAGAGAGAGCGAGGGAGAGAGAGAGATCAACAAAGAAAGACAGAAAGACAGATCAAGATAGAAAGAAAGAAAGAAAAGAAAGAAAGAAAGAAAGAAAGGCAAAGAGAAAAACAGAAAAGGAAAGAGAGAGAGAGAGCGAGAGAGAGAGATAGAGGGAGAGAGAAAGAGAGAGTAACAGAGATAGAGAACAACAAGACAGAGAACAGAGAACAAATAGACAGAGATAAAGAAAGAAAGAAAAAGAAATGCAAAAAGAAATGCAAAAGAAAGAAAGAAAGAAAGAAAGAAAGAAAGAAAATGCAAAAAGAAAGAGAGGTAAGGAAAGAGACCAACAGAGAGAAGAGAGACATAGAGAGAAACACCGAGAGAGAAAGAGAAGGAGAGGGAGAGAGACAGAGACACCCAGAAAGAGTGAAAGAAAAAGAGACCGAAAGAAAGAGGAAGAGAGAGAGACAGACAGAGATACACTGAGAGAGCGAGAGAGAGAGAGAGGGAGAGAAAGAAACAGAGACTCAGGCAGAGAGAGGGACAGAAACACAGAGAGACACAGAGAGAGAGACAGAGAGAGAGAGACAAAGAGAGAGAGAGAGAGACAGAGAGAGAGAGAGAGAAAGAGAGAGAGAGAGAGAGGTTGAACCCCTGTGTGATCTGAGTGTCTCCCAGTTAAACAGTTACAGTCTGTTAAAGGGTGAGCTCTGGTTTCCAGGCAAATCTGGAGAACCTGATTCACCTCCGAGCAGCAGAGACTCCAGAACATCAGGAACATCAGGAACCTCAGTCAGATCAGTAAACAGGTCAGCGGGATGAAAACACTGAGTTTTAACACTGACAGTTTATCAGACATGGTGAGATGTGTAATGAGCGATTGCCCACTCATAATAAAGGCCAGATGGCATCACGCATCAGCCCCGCGCGCGCTTCCTCCGCACGGCACCGCGCACGACTCCAAGGATGAAGTGGTTTAATGCTCTCTTCAGCGCACAACACACAACCAACACTTTAAAAGCCCCTCCAGTTAAAACGCCACGTAGCGTGTTCTTGAGCCCGTAATGGACGCGGACGCTCGCTTTTGCGTTTTTTGCGCCAAAGAGCGCAGCACAAAAAGTCAAAGAGTGACCTGAGTGACAGCCTGGAGCGCACTTCAGCGCACAATCACCAAATTAGCCGTGGTAGATGCAGTTTAGTAACAGAGAGAGAGAGAGGAGAGAGAGAGAGAGAGAGAGAGAGACCTTCAACAGAGTGGCGGGTCTCCGCGGCTGTGCACTGAGGAGACGGATGAGACAGAGAAGGCATGACTGCTCCTCCATTAAAAACGTGGAGAGTGCTGCCACCTAGCGGACAAATAAAAGCATTTGCTTTTGTATGTAAAATAGGTTCAATAACATCATAAAATTGTTACACGGATCTCATAATGAATAACTGTACATCCATATATATATATATATAGATATATATATATATATTATATATATATATATTATATATATATATATATATATATATATATATATATAAAATTGTTTTATATATGTAGAGAGAGAGAGAGAGAGAGAGTGAGTGCTCCTTCACTCCTTCTCAGAACTTCAGGGTGAATGGGCGGAGCTAAACCGCTGTATGCTGATTAGGCAGGTACATAGAAATTTCTCATTACGAATATGATTTTATAACAAAATGATAATTAAAATGATTCAACTTACAGTTAACTTAAATAAAGTGAAAATATCTCACTGCGCTGGTGGATATTTTATGTCCTTGTAGTTTTAATTCTTGAAACAAGCAAAAATTACCTGCCAGTTCTGATAGATTTCACCTGATAAGATCACTTTATATGTAAAATAGGTTTAATATCATAATATTCATACACTGATCTCATATCCAAACGAACTCAGACAGTCCTTCTAATGAAAACTGGAGAAGGAAAGAAAGAAAGAAAGAAAGAAAGAAAGAAAGAAAAAAAGAAAGAAAAGGAAATAGATAAAAAGAAAAAAGAAACAGGAAACGAAAGGGAAAAGAGAAAGAAAAATGAAAGAGAGAGAAAGAAAGAATGAAAGAGAGGGAGAGGAAAAGAAAGATAAAAAATAAAAAAGAGAGAGACAGAGAAAGAATGAGAGAGAGAGAGAGAAGAATAAAGGGAAAAAGAAGAAAAAAATGAAAGAGAAAGTAAGAATGACATTGAGAAAGAATACAAGAAAGGAAAAAATGAAAGAAAGAGAGAGAGAGGAGAAAAAAGGGAAAAGAAGGAAAGAACGAAATAGAGAGGGAAAGACAGAATGAAATAGAAAGAGAGGAGAGGAAAGGGAATAAGAAAGAAAGGATGAAATAGAGAGACACTAAGAAAGAAATAGAGAGAGAAATATAGACAGAGAGAGAGAGGGAGGAGAAGAATGGGACTAAGAAAGAAGGAATGAAATAGAGAAAGAGTAAGAAGAAGAGATGAAATAGGGCAAGAGAGGAAAAGAAGGGGAAAAAGAGAAGGAAAGAATGAAAGAGAGAAAGAGGAGTACGAATGAAAGGGTCTGATGTCCCCCACCTGATTTACTTCACTCTCTGATTTAAACATGGGGCCAAATCTAACGCTGGCCTCAAACTAGGGATCCTCAATAATCCCATTGAAATGATATCAGTATCAGGCGGATGATCAGACATGACTGATACGGCGCTGATCTCCAGGTGATGCAGGTGAAGCTGGGTCACTGTGCTGAAATGTCTGCATTTGCTTGTCCAGGTAGAATCAATCAGAACTGCCCCATTATATAAATGTTAGTGTATCAGAATCAGCAGATCCGTACGTGAAAAATGCATGTTGGCATCAGTCCAGTTTCTGTATTGATACCTCTGACTATTTCTGACATTTCACCTGGATTACTGCGTTCCAGTGATTTATTCCTACCGGGGAAATCTGGGGGTCAGTTGATCTAATTCGGAGATTTTTAAAAAAATAATATATATTTAGTTTTTTTCGGTTTAAGGGTGGAGGTGGGGGGCATAATCCATTTGGCTTTTAGAGGAAAATATATATTTTTTTCTTTGGAAGTGAAAGTGTAGATAACAGTAGTTTTGGGGCAAGAAGTCCCCCCAGCTAAGGGGCAAAGACCCTTTTATTATTATTATTAGTAGTAGTAGTAGTGGTGTAGTAGTAGTAGTAGTAGTAGTAGTAGTAACGGTAGTAGTAGTAGTAGCAGTATATTCTTAGCAAAAAAGGTTGTATCAATAGTGGAACCCTTTTTGGTACTATATAGAGCCCTTTTCAAAAAGTGTCCTATATAGAACCATCTACAGCACATTCTGCATCAATCTGAAGAAAATCTTAAGATTTATGGAGAAACCTTGAGCGCAATACCCACTCCGCCCTGTAGACGGTGCCAATACGCCATTTAGGCAGCAGTCCACTCGCTATTATACCCCCAAGCATAGATATACATGGATATACACAGGTATGTATATCTATGTCCCCAAGCCCATTGTCCATTTTTCAGGGGTGCTGGAAGTCCTGTATTCGTTATTGGAACTACTCTAATGGAAACTGACCGCTATGTAGCACTTTATTTTGAACTCGCCGACAGACATCGTTATGTTATATCAGAGCACCATTTGAAACGTGTTTTAAAACGCAACAGACTTTTCAGAGAAAGAGTTACACAGATATACCCGAGGGCTTGTTTTTTTATTTAGGAGCAGCTACACATTTCTGGACAAATTAATGACTGTAGGTGGATGTATGTGAGGGTGTTGTGCCCACTCTGGACCCTAGATGGCAGCAATACGCTGGTCGAGGAGCGTCGTTCACTTCTGTTGCGTTTATAACACGATTCAAATGGCGCTCTGGTATAACAATATAATATTATTAATATAATTCGGTCATTTCACAGGCAGGAGGGTTTTTTCCATCTTAGAACCTCAACCCCCACCCCATGTCCTATCAGGGGCTCCGTATTAGTCAGTGTAAATAACATGAAATAGCAAAGCCAGTTGGGCAAACATGGAAAAGAGATCAAAACCCTCCTAAAAAATTAAATTATATGAGTTTGAAATAAAAAAGTGAGCTGAGAACAAAACGAAAAACTTGAGCTGCAGCCACAGAACATGTAGAGAAGAATTACCCAGAACTTGGAGAGAGGAGAATTACCGCTCTGCAATGTCTTCCGGTTTTTTCAAACGCTAGAGGGCGCTCCCGAGCGAGTCCAAAATGAATGGGTTGATATGGAGAATTTGAGCAAAATCATAGTTTATAAATGCTTAAACATTTTTAATGTAAAAGAATGCAATGACTTCCTGAACCTAAAACATTTTAACACTGCTGTTTTTAAGAGCTTTTAAATTCTAGTTATTGGAGTTTTAACGGCGCCTCATGTATTAATAGTCCTTACACTCCTTAATCCGTGTAGATGTTCATAATAGATTATCACCTTATTACACGAACCTGAAGTTAGGTTGTTATTTGCCAGCTTCTTGTTCGAATTTTCCAGTTCCACCTTAAATGGTGCAGCTTCAGGCACCAGAAAGTGAATGCTGCACCATTTAAGGTGGAACGGGAACACAAGGAGCTGGCGAATAGGAAGCCAACTTCAGCTTCGTCCTTCTGTGTGTAAAGATTAGAAGTGATTCACACACTGATGGATTTGCTGATTGTGTTTTTACCGGAGCTCGCGCTAAACTCACGTCAGGTGCAGACTGAACGGCTAATTATCATGATCAATTATTAAAGAAATAAAAGCTACCGAGAGCAGATCCGAGCAGCCTGGATTAATCTGTATCTGAGGATTATAACAAAACTAATGTGGTGAAAATCGGATGAGTAAAAAGGAAGTTGTGGCTGATTTAATCCTGAGACTCTTCGTCTCTCAATACAAGTGAATTTGTTCACAAGCGGATCTTGACCGCTCCAACATGGCGGACATGCAGACGTATCGCCTCACATAGAGAACAACAGGCAACGCGGCATGTATGTGTGTATGTCTGTGAACCGACTCTGCTGCAGCTGCTTCAGCTGGCATGAGCACAATATACAGTTTGACGAACACTGCCACCTTGTGGTCGTCTTTATATTATCACACTGCAGGCAGCAGGGGGCGCTGTTTCATCAAATTTAGCCCTGATAAATAAAACAGCTGTGGGAGCGTTTATCCAGCTGTTTTATTCATCTAACTTTTATAAGTTATGCAACTAAATTTCTGAATAACTTAATTTATTATTCATTTTAAGGGAACTGTAAGTTATAACCAGGAAATGCTTAATAATATAATAGATATAAAAATATGATATAAAAGATATAAAAAAGCTACACACACTGATGGGCTGTAACAAAGACAAGAGGCTCACAATTTTATATTCAGTAAAATCAAATTTAATGTACATTTGGAAATCCTTCCAACATTGTAGCTTATAAACGATTCAGTAACACAATGCCAAAATATAAAAAACAGATTATTTACATATAAAGTGCACAGATCAAAATAAATAGTCTCTCATTAAATCAAACGAACACATAATATGCAAAATTACAAAACAAGTCTCCCTTTCTTTTCCATATACACACATAACATACCAGAACCACAGCATCATCACCTTCAAATCAGGGCTTGATATTGCAGGATACGTTAGTGATGAGCCATAGTTTTACTCTAGTTTGTATGTGGAGATCACAGTTTGACAGGTCTTTTTATTTTGTTGCCCTTTGAAGCCTCCCTGAGTCAAAAACTTAACATCTGCTTTACGGGGAAACAAACCAACCAATCGCACCCAAATCGTTCGATCTTGCATCAATGGTGCAACCTCGAGAGTTCAATATGAGGTCAGTGAGTCTGTCCTACATAAGCTTATTGCCAAAATCTACCGGATGTTATTGCTTCGGGGTTAAAGGAGGAAGGAACGCCCTGACTCATGTAGTATTGCTCATCTCCATGTAGCCCTATTACAGTATTTTTACAGTAACTTAACCTTAGAGGTCTAAATGTGCAAAAGCCATGAGATTCACTACGTAATCTCACTGCATGTTATCAGTTCTTTGTCACACCATATTTATCAGTCCCACCACACAGTAACAGGATTTCAGCATTTCTTTCTTCTCTGCACAATCGTACAGTGGACGGTCAGCCACGTTTGCTGGCGAGACAGTGAAATGCTAGGTGTAGCGTGGTCTGGCTAACTGTTTCAGTAGCTGTTCAGTGATATTTCTGTTGAAGGTCAAGTGTTGGAAGTCAGCAGGCATGTAAAAAAGCACCGATTCATTAAGATTTTGAAAAATAAACAGTCTTTAGTGAACTATGTGGCCGTTTTTTTGTCCAAAGTTAAATTCTCAGGCTATTTAGATTTGGAAAAGTTGGAACACTCCCCGTAAAAATGATATGTTCTTCTAAGATTTTCTAAGAAGTCAGCACATCATCTACAGGGAACAAACTAAAATATGGCATTTTCTGCTAATGTTAGTGCACTATTTCTATGTATTTGCTGAAACTGACATATTGGCAAAAATAAAACATAAAATGTAAAATGTGCCATAACTTTTGCACAGAGCACATTTCATGTTTTTATTTTTTACTCCAATATATTAAACTCAGCAAACACAAAGTAATTGTGCATCAAAATGTGCTTATTTTCACTTTCAAAATCAACAGACCAGGTAATCTGACTGGGGTGCACAAACCTTTGCACACCAATTTCTCTATTTTTGCACATGAAAATAATTTTAATCAAATTTTGTCACAATGTGAGATTTCATGATGCGCTGAATGCTTCCTAATCAAAACTGAACTGTTGTGAGGTGAGAGATTTACGCCCCTGGTGGTCTAGTAGTGCCCTCTACCATGTAAACTGAATAAATGAGGTCACACCCTTCATCACTGTGTTGGCTCATAGTGTAGATCGAAGAGAAGACTGCGGGAGACCCTCATACGTGTATGAAGACCTCTTAGGGAATTTACTAGCAACAGCTGTGCTATCAAAACCTCACTATGACAGCCATCAGCGAGGTTTGATCCAACTAGGTCAGTTTGAAAATCAGCTTCGCCGGCCAGTGACGCTAGTGTGGTCCATCTTGCTACTAGCATCAAACACTTCATTCAGAGGTCTTCATGCATGTTTGCTGTGCACTAAAACACGCTGCTGCCGTTCTTTGAGTCCAGAACAGTGTAAGGACGCAGAACGTCCGTCTCGAACTGTAGCAGCTGCCCCATGAAGGCCAGGTTTGGGGAGATGACATGCCGTCTGCGCTTCACGAAGTCGAAGGCCTCGTCCAGACGCACGCGGCGGGCGTGGATCAGATACGCCAGGCAGATGGTGGCGGAACGGGAGATGCCCGCCTGGCAGTGGACTAAAACGCGCCCACCACTCTCCTTCACAGAGTCTGGAAGAGAATGAAGAAGCAGAGAAGTTAGCTTCATTAACTTTTACAAAATGCCTGAAAATGACCACTCAGAAGAGACTTGCATTTAATATTCTAAATCTTTCTTATTTTTAATTTTATTTGTTTTTCTTTCTCAGTTTTACACTAATTGGGAGGATTTGTTTGTTACTGAGATAGATCAGCGAAAATGTACACGTTTACAAATGTGTACATATTCAAATGACAACAATTTTAGACAATTTTACCCCATATTCTATAAAAATGAACAAAAGTACAGACATATTCCAGGATTCAGAGTGACTGCTTCTGCTATGTATAGCCGTAGAACATCCTTTTGTCCATTTGTATAGATAACAGAATGTACAGTGTCCAAAACCACATACGCAAGTCTATTTGAGATTAATTAAGAACTGAAAATGATTTAAGCATGCTAATAGGTGTACATAAGCTTCCATTACTTGTTAGCTACTTTAGCCTCATAAAACTAAAGAAGCTAACTTCAGACACCAAACATGTCTCGGCTGATTGACTACATTTGTGGTAAAAGGAGGAAATGTGTAATTTGTGTGATTGAATGTGTGATTCTTTGCCAAACTATGCACTTTAAAGGGTTGCGTTGTATTGTTTTTCTGAGGTTCACTTTTAGGCATTTTTTATGGATTTATTACCAAAATCAGACAGAATTAAATTTGTCATTGCCTATTAAATCTACACAGGCTGTTTTAATCACTGTGCCTTTAAGAATTATATATATATATATATATATATATATATATATATATATATAGGCTAAATGTTCTGATTGGCTGCCCTCGTTCAAAAAGCAGTCCAGACAGAAACACTCTATATAACTTCAGTGTAAATGGGTGGGACTAAAGCGTTGTAGGCCGAATAGGCAGGTAAATGTAAATGCACTGTTTTTCTGACGGTATATTCAGTAATTACCATGTATGGACCACATAGACTCGGAACTGAGTAGCACATTTTGAACAGTGTTTACATTAAACTCCTTAATAAAAAAAGCAAGGGAAGTTGTGTGATTTCCCTAATATGAGCCACTACCTAGACACATTTCTTCTAAGTGCTACCTCGACCAACAGAACTTATGATTCTGATACGTCCAAACGGCCTAAATTAATGAAGTTGCGATGCTCACCGATGAAGCCGATGGCCTCAGGGAAGAGCACCCGTATATCTGCGGCCAGGCTGTCCTCCACCCTCAGGGTCATGTACTGCAGCTCCTGCTCGAATAGGTTGGGGCAGGACGAGGAGACGTTGAGGACGGCCGTGATGCCGCAGCGCTCCAGCGTCTCTCTCCGAGACGAGTGGTGAGCGCTGCCCAGGAACAGGAAGGGCAGGATCTCCACGGGGTCACCCTGACCAACAAAACACACAAACACAGCTGTTCAGCTCACAAGCATTAAGAGAGTCTGACGTTTTTAGATTCTATGACCGAACCTCAGGTTGTGCAATTAATGTGTTCTGATTAATAACATGCATTCTGCTTTTTATGGTTTTGCTAGACTAATTGGTCACTTACTGGTAGACCTGCATACATACAACAGCCAATCATTTCTGGAGAACAATCTAATTTACACAATTACTTAAACTCTTAAAAACTTTGCTTCTTTAGTTTTGCTCTGGAGCTAACAGGCTAACCAGCATCACGCTATCATCACACACTTGACTCAAAGTGTGTCGACTCATTAAATAATAAACCTGCTTGTGTGGTTTTTGTGTGGTTTCTGGCTGTATGACACACTGTTATCTATATAAACAGACAACAGTGCATTAGCATAGCTAAAAACAGTAGCAGTGCCAGCTAGAAGCCTGAATTTGGTCCATACATTTGAATAATTGATAAGTTTATTTTTCACTGTATAATAGCTTTGAATGTTTAAATTAATATTTTACTGTACCATAAACGTTCATCTGCGTTTAGCCAACAAAATGACATGAACTACAAAAAAGTATATCTCAACAAGTGGAATCTTCTTAAATCTAAACATCTGACATGTCGTTATGTTGCCAGTATGAAATTACTGTAAAAATATAAGATTATTTTTCAGTAATCTTTAGTGAAAGTGTTTTATTCTATTGGGAGCTAACTGTACTTATTTCATTTGCATATTAAATTATGCATTTACTTTATAGCTATGCAGATAATATAGCTTATGTCGAGAAATAATGCAAAATGCATATAATCTGCATCATTTCTTTAAAAAATGCAAAGAATTTTGCTTATAGGCAAGAAATGATGCAGATAATATTGCATTGTCTTTAAGACACAATGCAGATAGTTTTGCTTATTTCAAGAAATAATGCAGATTATTATTTTTTTGTAAAGAAATAATGCAATTATACATAATACAATTTAGCTTATTGCAAGAAATAATGCACTTAATTTTGCATTTTTCCAGAAATAATGCAATAATTGTGTTTCTCCATGACATAACTGTTAAAATAAAGATTTTTTTTCTGCCAATGTAATAAGACACTTCCACTAGATATGGTTTCTTAAAACAAGTAAAAAGAAGAAAGGTATCAAAAAGGAAGATCATTTTATTTGTCAAGATATAATCATTCATAACATACAGTATATATTCCCAATATGACTCCCAAGGCCTTATAAGTTCACTTCAAACTGTTACTTTCTAGTTACTTTGCTTTAACTGCTCTCTAGCTTCTCCAGCTCTTTAGTCCACGATCATGTGTGTGTATTATCTTCTATTGTGAATGATGAGTACCTGGTCGTACAGAGGTGTGGTCTTGGTCGAGCTGAGGGTCTCTGGGTCACTGACAGCGGTGGGACTCCCACACATGAGCGGTGTGTTTAAACACAAGTCAGGATACGACGCTGCAAACTCATCAAAGCCACCTGAAACACAGAAACACCACTCATCAGTACATAAACTCACAGAGAGACGGGAGCTCAGACAGCCTGTTCAGAGACAGGAAGAAGAACTATAAACATAACAGCCTAGACAAGCCAAATATGTCATATGCAATAATAAAATAGAAAATAATTAATAAAAAGTAGATTAATAGTTTATAATTATAATAATAATATAATAATAATAATAATAATAATAATAATAATAAAGTAATTAATAATTTAGTAAGATACTCCAACCATTAGTGTAAAAATGGACCAAGCAAAAAACAAAACAAAAAAAAAGGTTTTCTGTAGTGACATGAAAAAGTGGGACAGCATTTTTTTAAGTATAACAAAGTTATTTTATTAGAAAATTAAACTCATTGTTCAACCATCACTTAAAAATGGTAAGAAATAATAAAAAAAAAAAACACTGAACAAATTGTGTTATTTTCATAAGTGTAAATTTAGGGATTAGTGTTTGGGACAGCCACCTCACAATAGACCTTACGCTATAAAAATGTATTATAATTGTCGTTATTATTATTATTATTAATAATAATAATTCATTTTATAATTTAATAATGATTACTTTATATCTTATAACTATCTCAATAATTGTCTTGGGTTTAAATAGATCAAACGAAGCCCTTCAAGTGATATCCTGTATAAATAAAAACAACACATGGGGACGAGATCCTAATGCCTGGCCGCGACTTAGTAAGGCGCGGGAACGAGATAATTAAGTCGTGGCCATGAGTTAGTAAGGCGTAGGAACGAGATCATGCATTATTAAACTGTGGTCAAGACTTATCTCATTCTCATGCCTTACTAAGTTGTGGGCATGAATTAGAATTTCGTTCCCATGCCTTACTAAGTCGTGGCCACGCATCTTTTATTTTATACGGGATGTGACGAGCAGGACTCCATAAGATCATTACATAATCCTAGTAAAAATCTAAGGTCTGAACACTGAATAGTTGTTTTGAATAGTTTTGGGTGGAGTGGTCCTTAAAGCAGTGTCAGGTGTGTTAGAGCAGTGCATTTATATTCATCTATCATTTCTGAGGCAGCAGAGTGAGACCTGAACACACCGCCTGCCTGAGCTCAGCTCAGCTGATGAGCTGAAGTTGTTTTAGGAGTAAAAGTTCTCACCTTGCAGGAAACACACCTCCGTGCTGTCCTCCCTCAGCTCCTCCTGCAGCGCGCGCAGCAGCAGCCCGGCCACGCTCTCTCTCCGCAGCTCGCGCACCGACCGGCTCGCCTCGTCCAGCACCACCACGCGCGCGCACTCCCCGGCGCGCAGGCGGCGAAGCAGCGCGCGGTCGGCCACCAGGCGCTCCAGGGGGCGCGCGCTCCCGACGCCCATCCCGCTCCCGGCCCGCGCGCGCTGCCTGCGCATCAGCACCGAGTTCCAGTTCACGCTGTGCGAGTAAGCCACGCGCGCGCCGCAGAACGCGAGGAACGGCCTGCAGTCCAGCAGCAGCGGGAGCGCGCAGTGCGCGCGCACCATCTGCGCCAGCTCGAGGCTTGTTATCTCCACCGGCATCACCAGCTGCCCCAGACTTACACGAGTTCAGTTTAACGGCCTCAACACAGTCCAGTCAGTGCGTCTCAGCAGCGCAGCATCTTTTTCTGCCCTTTATTCGAGGAAACTGAACCGAGCTGAATGAGGAGGAAGAACTCTGGTATGAGCAAAAACACCGTCTCTGAAGTTTCATACAGGCAGCAGTGAAGTGTCTGAACCCCGCTGCGCTCTGGAGGGTGTGTGTGTGTGTGTGTGCGTGCGTGTTTTGTCTCTGTTGTTGTGGTGTTGAGGCTCTTTTGTAGCGCTCCCGGAGCTCCGCCTACTTTCCACCGGTCACAGGCGGAAACTCCATATATGTTCCTTCAGGCTCGCACCGGCACTGCCAAATATGGGTCGGTGACGCGCGCGCCCTCCGGTTCCCACAGGCAGGCACGCGTTGGGGTTACACACACACACACACACACACACACACACACACTCTCTCTCTCTCTAATTGTCTCTGTCTCTTTCACTCTACTCTATTTCTCTTGCTCTCCCCCTCTATTTCTTCCCCTCACTCTCAATTTCTGAATTTCTCTCTCTCTCTCTCTCTCTCTCTCTCTCTCTCTCTCTCTCTCAATGTATTATATGTGAAACTAATGGCAATAATAATAATAATAATAATAATAATAATAATAATAATAATAATATAATTAACAGAAAAAATGAAACAACGCAGAGACAATTAGCAGTGAAAACAGCAACCAGACAAAAATGATCTATTTAGCTTCATATCTTTAGTGAGGGTCTCTCTCTCTCTCTCTCTCTCTCTCTCTCTCTCTCTCTCCCTCTCACTCTCTCTCTCTCTTTCTCAATGTATTATTACAAGCACTGTGTAAAATATTGCCAAAGATTATAAACTTTTAAGGTGAATATTCTCTGTGAAACTAATGGCAATAATAATGATAATAATAATAATAATAATAATAATAATAATATAATTAACAGAAAAAATGAAACAATGCAGAGAAAATTTGCAGTGAAAACAGTAACCAGACAAAAATGATCTATTTAGCTTCATATCTTTAGTGAGGGTCTCTCTCTCTCTCTCTCTCTCTCTCTCTCTCTCTCTCTCTCTCTCTCTCCTGGATTAATGGATTAATAAAGTGGAGGGTATGAGGTATGAAAATATCTCACACTCAATCACAAATGAATCACTTTGTTTGATGCCGTGACACAAACATATAAAAATATTTACACCTTTACGCAGGTCATGTGTGTGTGTGTGTGTGTGTGTGTGTGTGGGGGGGTGTAGGAGGGGGTAGTATGCATCAGTTTTCCATGCAGGTGCAGGAACATGAGGGCTGAACACAGAAAGGACAGAAGAGCAGACAGTTAAAATGAAGAGGATTGTTCTTCTGTATTCAGTTCAGTGATTCTGTTTGAGCAGCAGATCCATAAACACACTGTGATAAAGCTGAATCAGATAAAGGCTGAATAAACCAGACAGAATAACCTCTGATAAAGACCCCCTGTGTTTACTAAACACCTGCTACTCTCCTCTCCGCACGTACACACACACACACAGTGTCTGTGTTTATGAATGAAGTGACCGGCAGGGCGACAGACTGACCATTTGGAGAGGAAATAACGCTGTGAGCTGTGAGATTAGAGCTGGAATTAAAACAGCCTGGCAGAATCAGCTAATCTTTTACAGCACTCGGTAATCTGAGGGGTCATTCAGCACTCACTCACTTATTCATTCACTCACTCACTCACAACAACTCAGTCTGACAAACATGCACCCTCCACAAACCCTCAAAATCTCTCTCTTTCCCTCTATCTCTCTCTCTCTCTCTCTCTCTCTCTCAATGTAGCTTTATTGGCATGACTGTAAGGTCCTGTATTGCCAAAGCAGTGACAACAATGATAATGACAACATGAGTATATAATAACAATATATCAAATAATAACAATAACAAGAACAACAATGTTGACTATATTAAAAAAGAAAAAATGTATAATTTATTGTTTAATTATACAGATTTGGAATCTTTTTTAACATATGTGTAGTGTTGGGGGTCAGAAGGGTGGGGGGGTTTGTGGGTGGGGTGGGGGTCAGAAGGGTGGGTGTATGTGGGGTGGGGGTCAGTAGAGTGTATCTCAGGCAGTGACATGTTGTTACATATTGAGCAGCGAGGGGTCCTGAGTGCCCCTCTCCAAAGATTATCCATAATTTATCAATTTGTGTAAATTGCCCTTGTCTGTTTAAATTTTCACAGTGAAAACAAACCAAGAGGTGAGAACCTCACCTGTTATACCACACAGCCTCTCCTCTATAGGTAGCATGGACTTTTTACACCTGTCCTGTTCTATGGCCAGGTGCTCTCTCTCTCTCTCTCTCTCTCTCTCTCTCTCTCTCTCTGTCTCTTCTGAATAGTAGAGCTAGCTGTAAAGTAGCTGTAAGGTAGCTTTTCTGTATAGCAAAGCTCTAAGGAGGTGTTTCTGTATAGTGGAGCTGTTAGGTAGGTGTTTCTATATAGTGAAGCTCTAAGTAGGTGTTTCTGTATAGTGGAGCTGTTAGGTAGGTGTTTCTGGGTAGCGGAGCTGTAAGGTAGGTGTATCTAATGAAGTGATCAGCGAGTGTATATTTTTATTCTGCAGATCACACTGTCGTCAGTGTCTCCTGCAGGGAACGGAAATGGCCTCATTATATACAGCCTTAGCTGAGAAAATTCCTGCACAGTCAAAACAGCAACACCTTTTGCAGGCTGAGATCACAGCTCATCTATTTTATTTTTTAATTTCAGCTGCCATGTGAGTGATTATTAAAACAGAGAGAGAGAGAAGCAGCTGGGCCTCAGTCAGAGACCGACTCTCAGGTACAAGAATGAAAATGTGGGTGACAGACATTGCAGTACAGTGTAAAATATATGATCATAAAACCTGGAATATGTACTAAGTGTGGTAACATCTTCATGTACTTAGTGAAGAACAGAAGACATATTAACTTACAACAGAACACAATCATAACAGGAACAAATGGGTAAATGCAACAGGTTGAAAAAGCCTTAATTACTTTTAAGTCTTATTATTCAGTTGCTGTTACAAATAAATTAGGAACTACTATTAAACTTATACCTGTGATGGACTGGCGACCTGTCCAGGGTGTATCCTGCCTTCCGACCCAATGACAGCTGGGATAGCACCCCACCGCGACCCAGAAGGATAAGCGGTTTAGATGACGTATGCATGTATGTATGTATTAAACTTATATGCAAGTTGAGTGTTTTTTAATGATTTTTCTAAATTTCTGCATAAGTAAATGGTTAAGATATAAGCAAAGTCAATCAAAGTGGTTTGATGTGAAATGCTCCGTTCTAAAAATTCATAGAGTCTGAAAAAAAATAAAATGTAAAATATGGAATGTGCCATACTTTTTGCACTGGCCACATTTTACGCTTCATTAAGACTAACTTAACTAAAAAATTAACTTATTTTCACTTAGAAAATCAACACAAAGTGTCATTTGACTGAACTTTTGCATACGACTGTATTTATATACGACTCTTTTGGCCCAAAATTGTCTCAAACCCCCGAAGGTTTTGAGTGCTGGTAAGTGCTGACATTAGTAAATGTAGTACTATCATTAATATATTGTTGAATCAGATGCTCTATTATTGAACCAAGCAGAGAAGGCCACTGAGTAACAGCATGCCATTACAACATCTACTTACAGTAAGCATCAAACTCACACTTACACAATAAAACAACATGTAAACACAAAATCCACCAAACGACAACATTACCAGCAACAACAACAAATGTCCTTTCCTAATGGACGGGGGATGAGCATGCAGGTGCACCTTTGCATGCCACGCCCCCTGAGCGCCTCTTAAAATGTGATCTAATGGCGGACGCCAGAATATAGTAATGAATGGTGCACAAACATGAGTCATCCTCTGCCCTGTTCTATTATTTACAGCGTAGGAGAAGTGTGATGAACCCTGTCTCACCGATGACCACAACACACCCTGCAGTGACGTCACTTTTGCCTAGCGTGCTACATCGTGTTGTCGTATCATGATGCATCATTTGGGACGTCTGACCAAGTTGTGTCAACTTTACATGTCTGTTTAAAAGAAAAACAGGTAACAGAGATAATCTTGGAGTTTAGTGAGCACATGCCACGCTGACTTTACTAATGAAGGTCATTTTTGGATTCGTCCCTGGTGTGAATGGCATGACTAGAATGTATGTGTGACCTCACTTTAGAAGCCTTAGGCCAAAATCAATGCAGTTTAGCATAAGTCTAGCCCACATCCTTGGGCTGGTTCTGGCCCAGTGTACGGCTGGGTCCTCAGCCCCTCTGAAACTAATAATAATGTTTTCACAGAACTACCAACTACATTGTTGGTCCGCAAGATTGACATCAGAGTTGGCCCAGAAATATAGATATTAGGCAACACTGTATGCAGTTGTACCGCAGCTGGCCCAATTCAGACTTGCATGCCTAACATTTCTCAATTCAACTTGTGTGAGAAAGTCAAAATTGGCCCTGCGTGCTATCTGGGACACTTCACACAAGGACTTTAACGCAGATGCTTTGAGCATCCAAGCCTGTCCAAGTGGTCTTGTACCACCAGTGTGCTTTCTCAACTGCCACAGCAGACGAGCAGCTTAGTCCCACACAAAAATGGTTCACTTACATAAACATAAACATACCTGATACATTATTATCACCTTTTCATTCCAACAGCGCAGGTAAAGCAGATCACTCTCCTCTACTGTCCATGTTTAGCTGTTGAGGCTCTGAGGAACAAAGTCTCCACAGTATCACTCTGATCTGTTCTCTATCTCCCCCTTTGATTACTGGGTGTTTTAACTATCATAGAACTGCAAGAATGCATGTTGTGCTTGTACAGAAGGGACTTGCGATCGCAGTGCATTGGCCGGGCATTGTCATCTGTGTTTGCGTACTTGTGTTGAGTATGTTTCTGGCCTTAAAGTGAAACTGACACTAGCAATAGCCATCATGACATCTGAGTTTTGTCTGTCCTTTTCTCCTTGGCTAACTGGTGGGGTATATTTCTGAAATGGAACCTGGGGACGTTTCTACTAACTAAGCAACTTTGTAAACTGTGTCATAAAATCATACTAACTAAACTTTTTAGAAATAAAGTCAGTAGGCAAAAATGGTCTCAAAAGTCACTAAGTCTAGTAGCCTAAGCAGGGAATCTTGCCACAAAAGATTCAATGGTTGTATGAGCCCATAATT